GAGCATTAATGACATAGTGACATGGCATTCCATGTGGCATGACCACGTAGCCTCTTAACTTGCCAAACCTGACCTGGTTCATCATGTCCTTTGAAGGGGGTGGTCTATCTACTTGTCAAGCTGACTTGACCATAAAGTTGCCTCCTGACTAATGCTTCGCCATTAATGCTTCAATCCTCCTTTGATATCAATGCTTTTCTTCTCCCGCGACTGAAACACTTGGGCATGCTTTGTTTGTCAGATGGGTATCTCCATTTCTAGTCCCGAAAATTTCAGCTCAAGCAAGCTTTTGGATTCTTCCATGACCAAAGGCACTCCTTAGCAACAAACAAATTAAAAAAAAAAAGTTGTAAAGATATAGCCTAGAAGCTTTATTTTGTTATATTTGATTTGTTTTTACTTTGTGATCTTCTATTGATGAAGATTGTTTCTTTTGAGACTGTAGGCCGTTTTTGAAATGCTTAAATCTGCAAAAAGGATTTTACTGCAGAACTAAATTATTTACTGGTGTTTTGTTTAGAAAATTGGAGGTCCATTCTGTAAAGTTGAGTTTTTTTTTTTTCTTCTATTAGTGCAGCTTAATTGAGTTCTCAATTTCTCAACTTTAAAGTTGCAAATCACAAAGTACTTGCAATGGGCTGCAAATGGTTTGCGCTTAACCAAATTCTAATTTGAATTCGACCCCATTAAGGGTGACATGAATTTGATCCATTTATAGTTGGATAAAATATGGATCTACTCCTATCCAATCCAATAAAATCAGATTCGATTATATATATATATATATTCATAGGTACTTAAAAATTATATTATATCTATCATTGAAGTTTGTCTCAATGTTGTATTTTCACTAAATTATCACATGTTCAAGCTTTTATACAAGTGATTTTCAATTCATTTTTGTTTATAAAATATAATATGAAAGTCATTTTGAACTCATTTTGCTAATAATATTAATATTGTGATCATTTTTTTTGTCTAATTTATTTATGTTATTTAATATCTGATTATAATCTGAATTTGATAAAAATCCGTTAGATAACTAATGGATACGATCCGATTTGAATTGGAATATAAACAAATCAATTTGGATATAGGCATATTACTCAATCCGATCCGTTTGCAGCCCTTGCATGCCTATAATTCATAAATTTTATTTTAGTATGTTAATTTTGATTCTTATTAAGATTTATTAAATTTAGTTTTCAGTAGCTCTAGCTTTGTGCTTTCTGTATATATTCATCTTTGCAATTTGTTTTGTATTTCTTTGCACCTTTTTCTTATCATTTTCTATAAATTTATCATTTTCAAGGCTGACTCGACCAAGATCTATCACATGGCAGCCAATAAAAGAGACAGAAACATTTTCTCTTAAATTTCTGATTTTCAGAAATATGGGATTTGATCCAACAGGATCTTACCGCGTAGCAACCATAAGAAAGGACAAAAAACCAGTCTTAAATTTGGGTGTGCGGATCAGTATGAATAGATTAGTATGCATTTTATATATGGAATGGAAGTACTACTTTTGCTTTACTAATTGCCTTGCCTCGACTTCCCCATCGTAAAAAAAAAAAAAAAAAAAATATCACAAAAGAATTGCTAAACGTGGCGATTGATAGGAAGATAGATAATTAAAGAAAGTAATAACAACATTTCTAACCAATTTTGTAAAATTGCTCGACAACTTTCCTTCACTATTCTCTATTTTCTGTCAATCCAAATGCAGCCTTATAAGAAAAACATGAAATTTTGAAAGTTGAACCGCAGCCGTCAATATAGAAACCGATGGATCGCTCTCGGAGAACATTCCAGTCAACCTTCCCGTGTTGACCCTTTTGGTTGTCTTAACTCTTAATCAGTATCAAGAAACCCCTAATTATATCTTAATTATTATCTTTTCATGCTGGCTACACATTTTTCTCATTGGGCCAATATACTAGTTACTTTTGTGTCTAAAATCACTTCTATTCTCTTACTTTGGGAACATCTCACCACGAATGACAAAATGCACGCCTGTACTGTCTTGTGTGTGGGTACTGGGTATGGATGTCAGTATAATATCTGAGTTTGTCTAAAATATGAATTCACATTTGTGACCCACAGCATATCCCAGAACATTTTTCACTGACAACTTTGAAAGATGTTTTGAGAAATATTTTTAATACATGCTAAGATGCATGTACATGTGGGGCAATCTTTATGTATCATCGAGAGATGTTCTTAATACAAGGTCGGGATGTGTTGTGTGGCATTGTGGGGCGCAGATATGAATTCCCCTCTATAGGGTATAGATGTAATCTCCTAAAATGGAAAGAATTTTAGGGGCAATCCAGAGCATTCATCCAATATGAGTCCCTTTGGATTGGCCATGTGTCAGTCTATCAATCCACATCAGACCTACTCCATCTTTGAATTAGGGTTTTGTTGGATTAACAACACCTTTTTATTCTTCTCGAGTTTTAATTTAAAATTTGTGCAACAAGGAAATATCTTTTTTTGTTTTTTTGTTTGATAAGTAGAAAGAACTTGTATATAAAAAATGGGAATATCTTTTAGCCAAAATCTTTCTCTCTATGGGGAATGCTAGTTTACACACATTTGAAAATAAAAATAATAGAGAGCAAGTCCATATATATATATATATATTTACTTCTATATTTGTTTTTTTTTTCTAAAAGTGGATTATAAAAACATTTAATTTTATCAAACATGTAAACTCTTTCACTAAATGGACACAGGGGATTAATTGCAGAGCTCTGTCGGAAGAGCATTATATTCGTCCATGGACGGTCTCAGACAGCAATTGCCAAATTGCAGACGTCTTCTTGCCGGCATCCATTGATGCTCAATTCTGTTTGTCCTTAGATCAGCAAATAAGGCTGCTCACTCGCTTACTAAATTTGTACTCTCTACTTCTCATATATGTACTTGGTCTACGATTCCATCCTTTCTGGAGGATTGTATTGTTTCTGATATTTTACTGACCACTTAATGCAATCTTCCACCTTATTATTCTTAAAAAAAAAAGAATGATCAGCACAATCTAAACCACGTAGGACACTTTTTTCTTGGGGTGTCAATTGACCGGTTTTGGGTTGGATGTAATTCGAATAGAAACTAATCAAATTGGATTTGAATAGTCAAATATAGAAATTGGGTTGGATTAAATTTAAATAAATTTGTCCAAATTCTTATTGGTTTGAATTGGATTTAAATCAAATCTTCACAATAGAATTGAAAACCAGAACCTTTTTGTGTTTTACAGGTCCTGGTTGACAAAGCATATGTGGGGGAAATTTTGCAAAAGAAGAGCTTTGGAGATAAAAAAGAGTAATAATCTATGGTGAAGAAGATTAATCTATAAAATAAATAAATTAAAAAATACATTTTGTGAAAAAGCTTTTATTTTAATGTTTCAGATTTTTTTATTTTATTTTAATATATTTTTTGAAATTTTAATTTGAATTTCTACCAGCATAGTTGTTGGATTATATAAAAAAATTAATATTTCATTCGATTTGAATTGGGTTAGATCCAATCCAATCTATTTACATTATAATGGATTGGATTGGATTTGATTCATATTGGATTTGGACTGAATTGAATCCATCCATTTGTAAATAGATTTATATTCGACTGGATTGGGTTGGACCAAATCCAATCCAATTAACACCCCTAACTTTTTCAAGTGGCAAGGTGGTTTATAGCTCAGAATGACCCTACACTACACGTTTTCTTGCCAATTCTCTGTTAAAAAGGTCACCAATTGTCCAAAAATAACTGATTTTATTTTTAGTAACTGCTATTTTGAAATATTTATATACTTTTAACGATCAATGTTATCACAGAATTAATGGTGGTACAGTTTGGAAAGAGTACAAATAGAAAGATGTACAGTGCAAATATAAATACAAATATGTTACCACGGTATAAATAATGTGCAGAGGTTTTGGTTGCAAGAGATCCCGTCGTCGCATGCCATTCGGCAATTAAAGAGTTTGTCTCGTATTTACAATTGTTTATTCAGTAAATGACAAAGTGCAAGCAATTCAGCCGTTATCAAAACGGTCGGCTTAATTTTATCAAAAAAAAATAATGGATGGTAAGGTATGGTATAGAGTATCAACTTGGATTAGATTGAAGGATTGGACAGGTGGCTATTCAAGAGTTCCCCTACGAGAAGAACGATGATGGCTCAGATGTTTAACACCACCTCGTGTAGAGATGACGTGGCAAATCGAAATTCTAAACCATCCACCGCACAGGGTATTAAATTATTAATGATGATGAGCAAACGTGATGATAAACGAAAATGGTCATGATTCTGAACTAGCTTTTCCCATGACCCATTCTCAGTTTTTACAAAAGAAAGTTCCCAGCTTAAAATGCTCCATTCACGGAGGCTTTTCACGTTGTACATACCAGTAAAATAATAAGAAAAGCACCTCTCAATCTCAATCATCTGTTACTAAACTCTCTCACCGTTCTTAATGCTGTGTTTGGTTTAAAAGACAAATTATTTCCTCAGCCTTCTGTTCTGTCATCTGTGTCTCGTTTATTTCCTGCCTGCTTCGGAATGATTCTAAAATTGCTCCCTGTACTCATTAAACAAACAAAAAAAAAAGGAGCAGAATCACAGGTGTAACTCCGTCGCTGTTGATGTTTCATTGATAAGAAGAGGCAGGCCTGAGGACTAAGGAGGTAGCGTCTGTCAGTCAGATGGGGATCGTTAAGTCCAATACATACATACATACAAGTCAAGTATCATATCACTTTTCCTATTCGTGCAAAACAAGTTCCTAACTGTAAATATGAGGGGCATTTTGGTCATTTAATACGTTAAGGATCTTAATGTAATTCAGCGGACTTGGGTGGAGGATGTCATAGTAATAAAGCAAAGTTCAAAGTTCAAACAGCGTTTTTACGCCATCACGACGACTGAAGTCTTTATTTATTAGCGTGTGTGGAGACCCAGGGGCAAACTCGTAAATAACTGTCAACCGAAAATAAGAGAGAGAGAGAGAGAGGAGTTTTTCAGAGGAAGAGGAAAGAGAATCGAAATTGGATGAGATTTGGGGGCAGGGAGAGGAAGCACAGTAGTACGCAGTTACGCACACACAAAACACCTCTCCTCTCGAAGTCTCGTTTATCGGGCCGTCTGTTCACGGATATCGAAGCTTTTTTTTCTTGCTTTTCTCTCCCATATATATATATATATTTTTTTTTTATTTTGGGGTTTTTTTAAATATTCTATTTTATTTTTTTAGTCTTCTTTGATTCTTGGAGAGAAGAGAGAGAAAGAACGTTGCAGTCTTGCAGAGCTGAAATCCCCATGGATGAATGGATATTTTGGGTTTGACGGATATTTCATGAAACCCAGGTGAGTAAAGCCTACAATGAAATTACCTTTTTTTTAACATATCTCTCTCTCTCTCTCTCTCTCTTTCATTTTCTTTGTCTTTCTAAATTTTGTTCTTTGTTGTAAAAGTTGTCTTGTTGAATTATCTTTTTCTGTTATTTGTATCTTCAAATGCTGATATCTGATTTCTATATCTACTTGTACGCTTTTGGTCTCACTCCGTGATTTGATCTATGCGAACTGACTAGTGTTGGAGATCGGTGATTTGTTACAAACTAGGGTTTCGATTATTTTTCTTATTCTGAATTAGGATTTTATTTTATTTTATTTTTATCCATGGGAGATTAGCTTCAGTGGGCTTGGATTGGGATCCGTGTTGAATGTTTTTGCTCTTCTTTTCTTTTTAGTTTATGGTGTGCTGATAATCGACTGATCTTGGTTATTGTGTTTTCTTCATTTGCCCTTTCTATTCTGGGGGGGGGGGGATTCAGGACATAGCATATGGTAACAAAAGCTGACTCTTTTAAGGTAAGCTTTCATGGGTTGAACTCAAAGAATGATGGGGAGTTGCAGCGAAGAGGAAGAGGATCGTTTTTTTGATTCCCGGGAGGATTTAACGCCCTTATCTGATTCCGGCTCGGATTGCCCGGAAAATATTGACTCGAATTCCGGGCTGCTTGGTTGGGCATCGGGTGGCTTTCTATACGAGGTTTGGATTAAGAACCCATTGAGCATTCATGAGCGCCGTGATAAGTTCCTAAAATGGATGGGTTTAAGTTTAGATCGGACTGTGAGGGATGATTCTAAACATCCCCTTACTGACGAAATTGAAGTCGAATTGGATAGAATTACCGAAAATAGCGGGGCCGTCCTGAGACACTCTGATTCCGAAGATGGGTTTTCTTCAAGTCGGTCTTCCATTTCTTGTTGGTCCAATGATGCTCCAGATTTGCCAGAAGATGTGGTCTTGGAGGAGAATTTTGTTTGTAGGATAAAGAACTTGGATGATGGTACGGAGTTTATTGTTGATGAATTAGGCCAGGATGGTATGTTGAGCAGGCTTCGTGAAGTGGGTTCAAATCGATTAGTTACTGTAGAAGAATTTCAGAGGGCTTTTTGGTTTTCCCCTTTGGTTCATCACTTCATGCGCAGAGAAGTTGCAGAACCTAGCAAGCCGGTGGGAATAAAAAAGAGAGTGAAGAAAGGATGGCTAAGGAGATTAAGTTCAATTGCTTGCATTGTGGACACACAAGGGAGAGGTGGTGATTTGGATCCCTGTGATCCTGATCCATCTATCAAGACAAAGGTTCAGAGAGTTAGGGCTCGTTCTTACAGAAAGCGATCCAAGGAATTATCTGCTCTTTATATGGGACAAGAGATCCTGGCCCACGAAGGTTCAATCTTGACCATGAAATTCAGTTTTGATGGGCAGTTTCTGGCGACAGCTGGTGAAGACAGCATTGTGCGTGTTTGGCAGGTAATGGAGTGTGAGAGATCAAATGTGGACGACATTGTGGACATTGATCCTGCGTGTATATACTTCACTGTAAATCATTCTTCTGAACTAACGCCCCTTGTATTGGACAAAGAAAAAATAGCTAAACTTAAGAGTCTGAGGAGAACATCAGAATCAGCTTGTGTCATTTTACCTCCAAAAGTATTCCGGATATCAGAAAAACCTTTGCACGAGTTCCATGGACACAATGGTGAGGTCTTGGATTTGTCATGGTCAAAGGATAAGGTTAGTGAACACCTCCATGAACTACTAGATTTCTTCTTTTATCCTGTTGGCCATACACCGATTTATCTCATTGTCTTTAAAACCTCTGCAGCTTCTGCTGTCATCATCTGTTGATAAAACTGTTCGCCTGTGGCAAGTAGGATGTGACCAATGCCTCAAGGTTTTCTCCCATAATGATTATGGTGCGTCCTTGTTGCTTCTGTTTTCTTTCTGACATTCTTTTGATTAATGAGGAATGGTTTAAGAACTTAATATTGATTTGTTTGTTGGATCATGATCTTGACATTTTCCCAATATTTTGTTAATAATAATTACATCTTGTTTGTCTTTTTTTGGTTCATTATCATTTGATGCAGTGACATGTGTTCAGTTCAACCCCATGAATGATAATTACTTCATTAGTGGCTCAATAGATGGAAAAGTCCGCATTTGGGGAATTCCTGATTGTCAAGTTGTTGATTGGACTGATATAAGAGAAATAGTCACTGCTGTATGCTATCGTCCTGATGGACAGGTTTGTCAACTTTCTTGGTTTATTGTCATCATCTTTTTAATTGAAATGCTGCCTCAAAATTCTCAAGGGTTTATCACTTAACGACGTCTACGCTTTATCTTCCCAGGGAGGAATTGTTGGCTCAATGACTGGCAATTGTCGTTTTTATGATGCATCAGGTACACCTGCGCCATTGCTGTAATTTCCATTTTGAAACTTGATAGCAGAATCATGTACATACTTGTAATGATTTATTTTCAGACAATCTGCAAGTGGAATTGAATCATATATACATTGATATTTGCATGGGTAAATTCTCATTATTTGATGCTCTTGTAAGATATAACATTCCTGGTGTAGTATATATTTGAACTGATTTTTTTTTCTTAAATGCAAAGTTATGCATAGAATGTTGTAATTATGCTAACTGTAAAGGCTTTGTGAACATGAAAATTCTTCATACTTCTTGTTTCATATGTGAAGATGGGTGCCAATGTAATCACTTTTTGCTACACATTCTATGCATATGTGAAGACGGATTCATATATGTATTCTTCTTCCTGTATGCATTTTCAAAAATTTATCCTGACACACTGACTGGCAATAAGCAAATCGATTTTCTAGCCTTAGCTGCCAAGATACTGAGGAATCTGTCAATGCAACAATTAGAACACAGAAAGACCAAACAGTGGGGCTTCTGCATGAAGGGCATCAGTTTGCTTTGTGGGGACTTTCTATGCATTTCCTACGGTAGAACCTAGCTCAGCTCTGCCGAGCCAACAGGGAAAAACATGCTTATTGATTCCCTATCAAAAATGTTTCTATCCAATTATTAAAATTATAAATAAGTATCTCACATTTTTCCATAATTTCAAAGTATAATGTAACATCATAAGAGGGTGGAAGCACTCTTATCTCAAATCAACATGGCTCTTGATGTAGCAAAATGGTTGGACAAGATTCATGTAGCTAACCCCAAGTTGTTGGGACTAAGGCTGAATTAAGCTGTGGGTAGAATAACCTGCTTCCTCTCTTGGGAGCTGTAGGTCTTGTAAGCATCCCAAGTTAAAAAGGAATGATAGTGGTCAATTATCTTGAGGTTTACTTAAAGTGTAAGGATGAGTTCACGGAGATGCTTTTCTTCTCTATTTCTTTAATGAACATTTTATGGAGTGTTTTGTTTAAACTTCTTATTGCTACAAAGAAACTGGTTTTCTTACTACGAGTATAATCTTGTCCTTTGCCTATTGTGCTTTTAAGTGCAACATTCTGTATGTCCATCAAATATACCTTGTAATGCTTATTGGAGGAAAAGGAAACTCACATGTCATTTAAGTCCAGTTTTTCTTTTCTTTTCTTTGTTAACTTCAAACTGGAGTGACACTGGATATGCCTTTTTTCCCTAATGAGAAGATTTGCAACTACAACATCAACTCATTTATGTTTTTGCATGGATCAGATAATCATTTGCAACTAGTCAAACAAATATGTTTACAGGGTAAAAAGAAGTCTCCTGGCAAGAGGATAACTGGCTTTCAGGTGGTTATTCCCTTTCTTGTTTGTATCATTTGAACTCTGTCATTTTATCATACAAACATCTTAACAAACTAATTATTTTCTGTTGTGTTATGTCTTGCACTCTTCAGTTTTCCCCTAGTGATCCAAGCAAATTAATGGTCACTTCTGCTGATTCACAAGTCCGAATTCTTGATGGCTTTGATGTGATCTGCAAATATAGAGGTGGGCGTTTAGTATATTAATTTGTATTAAATTCTCTATTGACCATGCTACTGCCTTCACACCCTAGATTCTGCAACTCAAATTTTACTGAGCTAAAGGGCAGCCCAGTGCACGAGGCTCCTGCCAATGCGGGGTCTGGGGAGGCACAGATGTAGGCAGCCTTAACCCTGCATACAGAGGCTGTTTCCAAGATTTGAACCCTGATCAAATTTTACTTAGATGCACGATGCAATCTTGGTTGAAGCTGGAAATCTGTGGTGATCACCCAGTTTTAATTTTCTTCAACTTTTTCCTTAATGTTTTATCTGCTATTCTATCCTCAGGCCTTCGGAATGCCGGAAGCCAGATATCTGCTTCTTTTGCATCAGATGGAAAACATATTATATCAGCAAGTGAGGATTCTAATGTTTATATCTGGAACTGCAATAGTCAGGATGGACCTGCACCCTCCCAAGTAAAGAGCATTTGGTCATGTGAGCGTTTCTTCTCGAGCAATGTGTCAGTTGCAATACCTTGGTGTGGCATGAAATCTAGTAACTTTGTTTTGTCTACTGCATTGGGAGCTCAATCAACCCTTAAAACACCAGAAAACATAGCAGGAAGTAGCCAAGCAAATGGAGGCTGGCAGCATTGCCTCTTGGATGAGAACTCACATAATGTATTGCCTTCATCTTCTCCTGACCGTTTTTCTCTTAGTCATGGGTTCTTTTCAGAGGCTTTGCCCAAGGGCTGTGCAACATGGCCAGAAGAAAAGCTTCCCATGTCAGGATCTCTAGCTGTGTCATCCACAATGTGTAAATCCCTATATAAATTTCTAAAGGCCTCTTGCCATGGTGCACTCAATTCACCTCATGCATGGGGTCTGGTGGTTGTAACCGCAGGATGGGATGGACGGATCAGATCATTTCATAATTATGGATTGCCAGTTCGTCTTTGACATTCAAGGTTCAGTATGGTGTTTAGAGATGATCATTGCGCATTAGAACATGCATGGTGTCCCCATGGTTGAAGTGCATGCAGTCAGCTTCTCATTTGCCTGGCCGAAGTATGTGAAAGCACAGTTCAGTTTTCTGCTTGTTAAATTTCAACATGCGGCTTATGGCATATGATGCTAGTTTGGTGGACTCAGGGGCTGGATTTCAGCAGCATCCGGAGCTGCAGCTGGGTACCAATATGGAAAATTATATAGGAATGTGCAGTGTAGATGAAATTTGAGAATTGGTTCTCTGATGGACCACTTGGTGGGATATGGAGTTGTATCTTAAATTAGATCACGAAAGGTGGCGACATACCCATGGTTCTATAATCTGGCCTGGCATCAACAAGTGGCAGGCGTTTGTTTATCTGGATATTGGATATCCAGCTTAATTATACCATTCATTTATTTTTTCTCTTCGAGTTGATGGCTGCCTGCATACAGAGAATCTGGGGTCGTGTGAGGGTCAGTTGAGATACATATAATTAAGTTGCCCATGGCCTGTGGGGTCTTCAGCGCGAGTGGAGACTGGAGAGGGGTGAGATGTTGGGTTAAGTTTTATCCATTGAAAATATGGTGGGGACCTCACCTTTCAAAATATGTTGGCTGGTCTGAATGATTCACTTATTTGTTTCCAAAGTGTGCAATGACCCTGTTGAATCAGCTTCATGGTGGGTGGGTCATTTTCAAGTGATGGACTTTCCTCTATGGAGCCCCGCATTTGGTACAGATGTGGACAAAACTGTGCAACTTCTCGTTGATCGCATTGTATCTGGAAGACGATTAAATCAATCACCAGGTTCCTCCTATCTGTACTGCAGGTAGTCCTTCCTCGTTTTATCTCACTAATCAAATTGAAATGCATAATGATTATATCGTTATCTTTTTTTCTTGGAAAATCTTGAATACTAGTGATCGTTACTTGATGTCATAGATTTTAGTATATGTATATTTGTAATTCACATTCAGAAGGGGATTGTTGTCAGTTCTCTCATGATGATGTGCCATGCCTTTTGCTTTTTTGTTAAGCTCTCCTCAACAAGAGGAAAAATAAACAAATTAATGAAGCATATCACAAGCTGGTGGTTAGTTCATATTTAACATTTACAGTTTCATCGAAAGACTTCATTGTGGATTACATAATCAGGAATTCATATATAGGTGAAAACGCCCAGCCGGTCTGGTTATTAGGTTATTCCATACATTGATTCTTTGTGCCAATTAAAGGACAAAAAATTACCATGTGCACTGGTTGGTTTAGAAAGGTAGTCCATGTTCAGTGGTTTCTATTTTAGTGTCCAATTGTTCCTTGGTAACACGCACAATCAGGGAAGAGATTGAGACTCTGTATTTTGTGCCTCCAAACGTTGGACCTGTCACACCCATGTGCTTGCACAAATCACTTTCAAATGTTGCTTTGTGGGATTGGGCCAGAGGCACGTTTGTGACGAGCACATGGGATTGGGCCAATCCATGATTTGTTATGGTTGGCCTGCGATTAATTTGATGGAACCGTTTTTACTTTTCGGTGGTGTTATGATCCTGGAGTTAAAAAGAAAAGATATTTTTTTTTCCAGCAAGAGCAACTAGGTTTATGTATGATTAGGGGCCTTCTACAGCTTGAATGTTTTTTGGTTTTTTCTGTCTTTAAAATCACTGCATGGCAAAAAAAAAAAAATGAAGCATGTTCTTGAATTATGCCTTTTGTTTTGAGAATCAAAACAAGTCGGTTTTGCTTCAAAAAACATTCAATGTTTTAAAACCAACAAAATAATGGTTTCTAACACAAGAAGATTTGGAGTACATAATCTATGAAACATGATATCAATCATGAGATGAAAACATGTTCTTTATGTCAGAAATTTAAGAGCACGTTCCTTTTTTTTTTTTTTTTGAAGCAAGAAACACGTACACAAACAAGAACATGCTTTATTGCTTTATGTGTTATTATTTGGAGGACCAATTCATTTTCTAATCGGATGGTTTTGATTTATTTTTTTGAAATATACTGAAGAAAAACAATTACATTGGAGAACACTCCCTTGATATGTTTAGGTCCTTGCATGATACCGTTGGTAGTGATACAATTAGAGCATGAAATGGGCTTGATCTGGTGGGGGCTCAGCCAAATCTTAATCCACACTTGAATGGGAGAGACAGGTCCAAATGCTACTTGTATTTAATCGGGTTTGCTTTGAAATAAGGATCTTGTGAGGGCCTAAAATAGCTAAAATATGGATATGGATATGGATATGGGAATATGTGAGATCAACCCACTCTATTTTAATACCCTGAGCAGTAAGATGATTTGTAACCGTTGTTAGCCTCCTAATTTTGGTCAAGGACGGCAACATGCGCTGATCCAACCTAAGTTCTTACACGGGTTGAGTTTGAACTAGGGTTTTCTTGGGTTGAGGCCTAGGGTAGCTGTAACTCAATTCACGGCTGAAAGCAGTCCAACCAAATCCAATCATGTCTGACATTTTACAATATAACCCTTTTATGTTTATAAATTGATTTTTTATATCATGTATATGTATATGTTAGCGGGACTCGTGTGGTGTACAGGATTTGTTGAGCAAAAGCTAAACAATAGAAACATCTAATACATTGATATATATATATGCTAGCGGGACTCGTGTGGTGCACAGGATTTGTTAAGCGGAAGCTAAACAGTTGAAACACATCGTTTTATATTTTTAACTTTTAAATAATTAATAATTATTTATATTTTATATATTACTTTTAATAATTTTTTTACAATACAAAAATAACAATAATTAATTTCATATAGGGTTGTTCATTAAATTGATGAAATTGACCAACTCGACTCAAGTTGGTCGATTTTCTAGTATTTTCGATCAGCTTTGGTTCAACAATTTCCCAACCTGACTAGGTTGGCTCAGTTTCACTTTAGCCATTTGTAAATTGACAAAAAATGGAACGACTCGACCATATATTATATTTTTAATATAAATTTTTTAATACGCAAAAATGAAAAAATTCTCATATTCATTAGTCTAAAATATTTTATATCGTAAATTATACTTTTTAAAATGTCATTATATTTTTTAAAATTAAATTAATTTTTTTAAGTTTAAATCTTTTGAACTGACCAAACTGATACAACTTGAATTGGCTGGTTTTCACTAATGGTCAACCGGTTTTAGATGACTAACTCCCCAACTTAACCAGGTCGATCTGGTTAGTCAAAATGCTTACAACCGAATTAAACAAACCCATGAACACTCTTAATTTCAGCTAAATTAATAGTTTAATCTCCAATGACTATTGAAAATTTATAGCAAAAATACATAATTATTGAAAATATATTGATAATGAAAATATAATAATTAAATAATAAAATATAATAAATATTAAAAATATATTTAATTAGTGAATAAATAGTGTAATATCAAATAATAGTTTAATCTCTAATAAATATTAATCAGTAAATTATAATAAGAATACAATAAGTATAATAAATTAAATTTAAAAAGTTAAATAACAATAGTTTAATCTCCAATAATTATTGACAAATTTCTATTAAATAACAAAACACAGATAGATTTATACATAATTATTGGAAATATATTTATCACAAAAAACAAAAAATACATAATTAATTTTAGTATAAATAAGTATATAATAAATATAGATTAAGGTTTTAAAATTATCATCAATAAATATTTTTTCTTTGAAAGTTGTTTTGTAAATTATTAATTGATATAAGTGAAACTAATTATTTAAATAATTTCAATTTTTAATATTAATTATTTATTGAATTTAATAATCCATAAAATTATAATTTATACTATTATGACATAATTGCATCATTAACTTTGTAAAGTATTAAATTATTATTGATTTGAATATTATGGTAAATTTTTTTTTCTACTTATAATAATTTATTTAAATTTATTAATAATTTCGTTATTTTAACTATTTAAAATCTAGTTTTGTTAAATATTGCATTTTTTAAAATACTTAATTATTTAAATATTTAAATAATATATATAAAATATTTAAAAATTTTCATCTCTTGAATTTTATTTATTGTAAAGTTATTATATAATATTATATAAATGGTTATATAATTATTTAGCTATTTTTAATATTTTGTTATTTAAGATATTTAGTTATTGAAATATTTAAATAGCATTTTATTTTTTTAGTGTTAAATTTTTATTATTTGAATAACATTTAAATAGAATAATCCGAAAAATCATAATTTATGTTTTTAATACATAATTTCGTGATGAATTTTGTATAGGTATAAAATTATGAATATTATGATTTTTTTAAATCTATTATAACTGGGTTTTTTTGTGTTTTTAATAAACTTTTTAAAGTTATTATATGATTTCGTTAGAATATTTATATAATTTTTAAAATTTTTAATTCAAACTTTGTTTTGATAAATATATATAAAAAGTAGGGTAGTGGATAAAATAAAAGATAATTTCGGAGTGAAACTCTCTACTAAATTAGGTATAATTTAGGAGATGAAATATGAATTAGATAATTGATGAGGTAAATAGGAATTAAAGATAATTTGGGAGAAAGTTGGGGATAGTGGGTGAGGTAGTTTAGGAGAATTTTAGGAGAGGATATTATTGGGAACATGAGAGAGAGAGAGAGAGAGAGAGAGAGATTTTAGGTAATTTTTTATGGGGAGGAAAACATCTCATTGGTTGTTTAAAAAAGGGATTATAGTTGATAAGGGCGACTTTATATATATATTAAAGGAATGATTTCAGGCCAAAGCCTCCCTGGTCAAACATGTGGCTTTCCTCCATTCAAATACCTGTCATTCTAAAGATTTAAACAAAATGGACACATGTCAAATTCTGATTAGTGGTTGTTCAAGAACAGAACCCACTAGACATTTGTCAAATTCTAATTAGTGGTAGTTCAACTAAAGAGCCCACTAACATGCAGAGTGGAGCCCACCACCATGCAGAGTTGTGAGAAGTGGGAAGCTCCCACTTTCAATCATTTCCTAAAAAAAATGAAAATTGTGCTATTAATTACTGTTAACTACTAAACTAATTAATTAATTCCAGCCATTGATTACTAATAATAATTATTGTTAATTACTAATTAATTACTATTAATTACTTTGAATTAATTAATTCCAACTAATAATTACTAATGATAATTACTCATTGATAATAATTAATTACTTAAAATAATTTCTTTTAATAATTACTGCTATTACTTAATTGCTGATAATAAATACTTAGTGATAATATTGCTCATTATTAATTTGAAATGATAATTAATAAATATTTTCATAATGGTAATAAATAATTTGGAAATAATCATTTTATATTTATATTAACTAATGTTAATTATTTTGAAAATAAATATTTAATGTTAATTATTTATATTATAATTATTATTAGAAATTATAATTCATACGTTTATATATGAAATAATTAATTATATTATTATTATAAGTAATTATAATTAATAATATATTAATTAATATAATTATATTATTATTATTATTATCAATAATTATAATTAATTATTACTAATATTAATGATGATAATTATTACTTTGGAATGTTAATTAATTAATGATAAATGATAAGTATTTTAATAATGTTAATTATTAATTGGGATATAATCATTTTATATTAATATTAAATTCATATTAATTAGTTTATAAATATATAATTAGTGTTACTTATTTATAATTAATACTATTATTATTCTCTAATAAATACTTCATTTAGTGAAAATTAAATTATAAAACTTTCAATTATTCAATATTGTTAAACTTAAAGAATTATAAAAGCAAATATCATTACATGAATTAACTAAAAATCGTAATTATAACAGATTAATTACTAAATAATAATAATAATAATAATAATAATATTAATATTAATATTAATATTAATAATAATAATACCAATACTTTAATATTACTGATTTCAAAATCAATACACACATAATAAGAATATATTATTAGTTAATAATAATTATATACTTATTATTAATACTGATTTCATAATTATTAATATATTAATAATCTATTAATAATATTGATTATTATTAAAAAATGGTAATAGCAAAATTTAATTATTTAAAA